ACATTATTTATGCAATGTTTTAATTGTTTACATTATCCATCCATTTTATGAAAAAGAAATACTTTACCTTATTTATTGTTTAAAATTTTCTATTTTATTAAAACAAAAATATATGACCTACATTTTAATTGTTAAAAATCTCTTATTTTATTTAAAATAAGGTAAATATGATCTATTCATTCTTTGTTTAAACAAATTCCAATTATGTTAAAACAAAACTATATCTAAACTGGCAATATTTATACAAAGAGAACATTTCATTTAAACCATTTAAATGAGTTAAAATGAATATTTCTCAGAATTATATTGTAAGCGAAATTTGTGTTGATGAAATGGCTTAGTTGATTTAACACAAGCTTACAACTATAATGAACCAAAAAAGAATCACTCATTGTAATAATAAAATTTAATGAAAAAGTATGTTCATAAAAATAGCAAATAAACCAAATGTGAAATAAATGAAAACAATGATACAATGAGTTACTTAAGAGTAGTGTTGATCTAGCTATCGAAATAGGTTCAAGATTAAGTCATAAATGTCATTTAAAAATAGAATGCCCAAAAACTGTAGACATATTTTGATACTGTACCAAAGACTAAACTGGATATAAATGCTTGAAGTAGCAAGTAGAAATCTAGTATGAACAAGTGTATTTGTTGTGCCTCCACATAAATTTGAGTTCGCTCATATGTAATTTGATTCAGCCTTTTCGATTAATTGATTTGACCAAGCTATTTGTACATCGTTTTTATTATTGTCTGGTTTGTATGCGACTGGTTTGTACGACTTTGTACGCTTTAATATTAATCTCTCAAATATCACGATGACTCAGACATTTTACTATCTATGTATACGAACATTTTAATCTTATTGATTCGTTCGCCCATTCACTCATTCGCCCGTTAGTGTGCCTGCCCTGTCTGCTTACGATCTGCTGACCCATTTTGTGTTGTGCTAAAAATAAACGTATTCGACACTTTGTATTTGCCTTCTGATTTAAAACCATCAGGCATTATTTGGTGCTGATTGTCTAGGTGAGAGGATTATGAAGATTAAGAACACGTTGAAATTGGCCACTTCATATTAGAGACGTGTTTAGTGTGGTTATTAGCACACATATTTCATATGAGCAATAATCAGTATACTGTGAAGTTTGAACAAAGAAGTCATCAAGAGAATTGACACAGTTTTCTAAACAATAGTGGGAAATGTACAATTCGAATGATAATGTGAAAGATGTCAATAATAACAAAATAAAATTCAAATAAACTGTCTCTAATCAAAAAGTTCCCATTATTAAAGAACTTCAAAAGTTATATATATATATATATATATATATATATATAAAATCACAGAGAAATCAGTTTACCTAAGATGGTGTCTAAAATGTTTGCATCGATAATACTTCTACGCTTATCTAAAGCTCGTGAAGAGCAGACTAGAGAAAACCAGGCTGTTTTCAGATCTGAGAGTTGATTCATGGACCAAGTCTTAGAACACACATTTAGACCCCCAACAAAAGTTGTCTTCTTCGACCTTATAGCGGAACTGGACACTGTCAATAATGAGATTCTATGGCAGTGTCTGTCATTGAAATGTGTATCAGAGAAGTAATTTAACTTTATACAGGCTCTCTACTCGAACACCACTAGTCGAGTTAGAGCTTATGGCGAACTGTTATCGGAATTCTTTACTTTAAGCGGTGTCCATCAGGGCTGCTCACTCTCTCGATTCTCGATTAATTTTGTCACTGACGTGCTTTTAAAGTTACAACTTTCACCCTCTAACCTTTCTGGGATCGATCTTCTACCAGGAGATTCACTTCGTGCCTTAGAGTATGCCAATGACTTAAGTCTACTTGGTGAAGACGCTGACGAAAGTCAGAGTATTCTGACTACCCTAAGCAACAACACAAGCATGTTCGGGATGCGGTTCTCACCCTCAAAATGCGAAATGTTGGGTTGCATTGGCACCTGAACAAGTCATAGAGAGTGACGTAGTTGGGCGTGTCGATCGGTTCACCTATCTCGGGAGTCTCATCATTGCTGATAGCCTGGTGACTTACTAACTCTCAGTATGGATACAGAATGCCCTATCGGCTTATGCCAACTTGTGCATCTTATGGCGTCAGTGAGATATCCGTTTGTTAATCAAATGACGAGTCTAGAGTGCATTATTTCGATCCGTCCTACTCCCTGGTTTTCAACCATAGGTGTATTCGAAGCATTGCTCGTGTATCATGGGATCACCGAGTAGGCAATTCTGTTGTTAAGAAAAGGTAAGGATGGCAGATCGAATGGAGTTGCGAATCTGCATTAGTTGTGGTAGTGTGGATATAAGTTACGTATTTCCAACCACTAATTGCCTCGACCAGATTTGTTTTATTGTGTAGGAGTAAGTTGAAGAAAACTAGGAGCGGCCAGACTAAAACATGGCACAAATTCATGAAGTCACTGACAGTTGGACTAAACTGTGTAAGTAGATATCGAATACCTGGTTGGGGTCCTCAAGATGATAGTAATCGATGGTTAGAGGTAGTGAATGACATGGCTCAAAATAGTTTACAATGGCGCAGGCGCATCCATTCTTTGTTTTCTCTCGAATTTTAACCTTCTGAATTCCTCATCGCCTTTATCATTCTCTTTTTTTAAATTCATCTTGCTGGATTATGCTCCTTGAATAATATTTTCGATCCCTCATCTTCTCCATTTTGCTAATACTTCTACTACCTCTACTAAAATAGGATTTCAATTTACAATGGCATTTCTAAGCGAATCTGGTATGGAAACCTGAACAGATGTACACGTTCATACAAAATTCTACGTTTTAGCTGACTTGGAAAAACTGAATCTTGGAGAAAATCTATAAAAACATAATATTTTGAATTATATTTTTCTTATGATGGATTTTTTATTCCATGTGAGAAGTGATTTTGTATTCTATACTTTATCGGTAAGATATGATAACTTGACGCCTTTCAACATTGCCTGATTTGATGTGTTTATAAATATTGGTTTATACATCAAAAGTTCTTCTTCAGACATTTCTTAGCACAATCTCACTATGATCTGGTTTCTATTAAACATCACTTATTGAAAACTACTAGTTTAGTTTTGTAGTATGGATAGGTAACATGGACTAGTGAGATTTAAGTAATTGAACAAAGAATTTGTTATTATCTATATGTACTAATCACACAATCTTTGTAAATATAACATTGATGTCTTATAGAGAATCAATTCGACGAAAATAAATGACATTGACTTGTCCAATGTACTGGAAATACTCAGCTTTATAATTATTTAACCCTGTGATCACTTATTCTGTTTACTTTGAAAAAATGACTTACATTAAATCACAAAACGTCAAAAATACAAGTTTCTACTCATTAGCATTTCATCACAATATATTTCAATTATTTAATTATTATGTTTTTTTAATAAATTCAGAAACTTTAGATGAACACATTAAATTCCATCCTACATGTGGAATCGTCACTGGTAAAGAGTTTGAAATAGCTGGTTTTTAATACTTGATGAAGGTCATTTTTTATTCGTTCCTTATTCAACTTATTTAAGTATGATGCATTTATTTGACTTACTAATAAGTGATAAACAGAAACATTTGAAATAGATTAGTTTTAATTAATTAATTAATTTAAGTAGATAATTGCTCATAGTTCAGTTGAAACATACTTGAATCACAGGTCAGTCTTAAAGTATTGAAATATATTATTTTAGCACTGGTGTTCTATTCGCTATATTTTGTTTATGTGGGTCACAAATGTGAGTCAATCATTGACAAGAACAAAATACTTCTTAACCGCTTTTCCCTACACATAGAGTGAGACAAATTCTTGTTTAATTTCTAATTTACACGATTGTTAGTCGATTATGATCACTTCTTATCCCATGCTTTCAAACTTGTCCTTCAGAGAAAAGTCGATATTGAAATCATTTGTTTCAAAATCATAGGAAGTATTTTTTTGTTTCATAGAAATCTTATGTAGGCAGTATACAATTTAAATTTAATATTTTCTTCTTTAAATGCGAAATTTGATAGTACTAACACTTACACTTTTATAAACACCATACGCTAAGAGTACAGAGTGTCAAACTAACATGAATTTTCAAGGTATTGATGTTACTTTCTAACTTCAGTAAACGAGAGTATGTAACAATGGAATCGTGACCAGTGAATGTAAAGATTTATTACTGAATACTGTTAAGTATTTAATTATCATTAGATATACTAATATTGTTCTTCTTTTCAGTAAAATTATGTTTATAGGAAATCTGCCAATTACAAATACAAATGGCGTACAAAATCTACACAGATTTATTCATGTTAGGTAAATTCTAATCATAAGGACAGGATAATCAGAACCGTAATTGTTTTTCATAAATGTATTATTCTCAAACAAAACATAAGAACTGTCTTGTCGCTGTGAATATCTGCCAAGTCAAATACAAACTTGGAATGACTAAAATGACATGTGGAAACCATTTATAGATTCCATGTTACTTTATCAAACTAGTCAAGTAGAAAAGTTTGTTTATTCCAGTAAGCTGGTCAATCAAATTCTATCAATTAACTGGTCTTATATTTCTTGATGAAGTACATTATTAAACATTTGGAAATTATGCTAATACACGAATATTCACCTACGTCATTTCATGTTGCTTTCTCTGCATGATACATTAAGTAGTGAAGAAAAAGTATTTGCATCTCACATAAAAATTTGTAAAAAATAATCAACAACCAGAAAACCTCCTTATAGTAAGTAGACTGTTCGATAAATCTAATTGACGTGCATTGCTTTACATTTCGAAAGTAGTGACATCTTATGATCGATATTTCAATAATCAACAGTAAATGTCTAGTTTCTCTGTGTAGTACATTTTACAAGCACCAATTAACATTTTAGGTTTTTTCAATTGGGTAATCCACGAAATGTACTTTAGACTTTAACGATAACACGAGTCTTATAAAATGTTAACTAAAATACTGTAGGTGATCACTGAGACTCTTTATATTTGAAGTCAAAGGTTGTTTATATTGCTATGACTACGGAGTACATTCTACAGATCTTTATGGTGATCTTGTTGATTGTAATCAATATAAAGTACAGTAAGATCAATTTTCTTAATGTTTAATTTCATTATATATTTCATTATATAAATACAAAGAGATTTTAATATAATTATGTCTAATGATTTCAATTATTCAACAGTTTGTCCTGTTATTTATTACTAACAGTTTGTTTGACAAGAACTACTGAACTTGAATAGGCTATAATCAATAGTCCATCAACTCCGCACACACTGATATTATTAAATATTTTCACCGTTAATTAGTTGAATAAAATCATTCAGATATTTTGAACATATAGAATTGCATCATTATTAGGTCACGAATCTTACAACTTTGTTTCGAAATGTTTGGTGAGTTAACTGTGACTAAACTGGAAGTTATGAACCATTTAACGTAAAGGAGAACTATTTTTTTCAAATTCGGTGTTGAGTTGTTTTAGAATTGCGAAGTGATTTCGGCAAGTAACGGCCTTACTGTTGTCAACCAATCAATTAATCAATAGCTACGTAGAACTTCGTACGTACATACATCAGTTCATGTTGCCATATCACATTAGCAGAGAGATATAATTGTCAATTCAAATCCAATAGTAGTAGAGGTATTAGCAGTAGTCGGAGAGGTTAGGATTAGAAGATATTATTCAAGAAGTAGAATCTAGTGAAACAGACTTAAAAACATGAGGGTAAATTGATGAAGAATTAAAAAGTTTAGGATTTGAGAGAACACAATAAATGAATGCACCTGCGCCATCACATACGATTTTGATCTATATCACTCAAGGTCTCTACCCATCGATTACTAACATCTCGCCGACCCCAATCAGGTAGTTTACACCTACCGACATGACTCACTCCACTTGTCAGTGACTTCCTGGATTTGTGTCATGTTTTGTTCTGGCCGCCCATAGCATTCGTCCAACATCTTCCTACACCACGAAATATAGCTCGGTGAGGCAGTCGATCGTTAGGCATACGCAGCACATGTCCCAACCACCTCAACTAATGAAGTTTCAATATTTCATCTATTGATCTGCTATTCTTACATAGCACCCGTTTCCTAATAACAGCATTGCTGACTCAGTTGTTCGATATACAAGCAATGCTTTGAAGACACCTATGATCGAAAACCAGTAACCTACGAATATCTTCTACACTCACTGGCCATGTTTCATAGCCATAAAGTAGGACGAAGCGAACTTACTGTGCTGTGCACTCGTCCTTTATTCGGCAAACCGATATCTCGCCTGCGAAAACCATGATCACCATTAGATACTTGAAATCACAGGATGGCCGTTTGGTCCTCGTTTACGACGCATCAGTAGTTTGTAGTGCATTTCGGTTGTGTGAGCTGAATGTTTTGGTTGTGCAGCTTTCATTGTTCCTCTGAACAACATATTTATCACAAACTTCAGAAAGAAGTGAAGTATTCGAATTTCTCCACATATGATCTGTTTCTTGATCCTATGTTTGTCTAGCATAATTCCGATTGCTTAATAATTCGGACCAATGTCGATGTGTTTGTTGATTTCTGATTAACCTGAGTACCAAGCTGCTGGAAATTCTCTACTGTATTTCCCACTCCCCTTATCCAATATTTCAACATTGTTTCAATCGGATGTATTTCCGTAGTTGTCCGAATATAATAATATAAGTGAAGAAATGTCATGCCATTTGACTTCGAATTTGTGTTCGCTCAAACAAAGCTGAAGAGGACGTTCACTTAATCCTATGTAGTTCTTTTTGTCAGTCTGAGTGATTTATTTTATAGATAATGTTTCGCTTTGATTCATTTGTCATTTTGTCCCTAGGTTTGCATAGAATTAATTCTAGTGATTCTGTTGCTTTGTGTGCCACAGCTATTCCAGATTGTTTCAGTAGTCGTACTGAAATTTCTCATAAATTCTTTATGTATGGTAGAATGATCCAATTTTTAGTTCATGTTCTTGAATTTACTTCTGTTGATGCTTCCAGTTGATATTTTTTATGGAGTTGCATGAATATTTGTTCTTTTGGAGGATAGTCATCAGATGTTTTTGTTTGTTTTTTGTGCACCATGTGGGCTGCAGTGTGTCTTCGCTCTCTTGAACAAAGTCTATACGCAGCTGATTTTGTGAGCTACGAAATCTAACGTATTTTCTGAATAAGTTATATGCTTAAATTCAGTTCGATATAGTTTCATTTCTATAATTTTAATAAATTCTCTTACCAGTATAAAGTTAAAAAATCAATAACGCATTTATAGTTTCCACGAATTGTGTGTGAACAACAACCGAAATACGTAATAAATATCAATCACAGATTATGCATAAAACATTCTGTTATTGTCACAACAGTTTAAATAACCATTGCAGAGTTTACAGCCATTTGAAGGAGTTTAGTTTGCATAAAATCAAAATAAACTTGGTGGTCGATTGTTTCGTGGAAATTTCCATTGTCTAACTCTATGCTGATTATGTACGACAGTTAACTTTATCAAATGAAGTCAGTGGGCGTTATCATTTTCAAACAAAGACTTGTTTAATAAAATGTTTGAACTAAAACCGTATGACAAATCTTTACTGGGAACTCTATAAAAATATATCACAAAATAACTAACTAGACGATGTTTATATTTTCATTTCTGGCTCTAAATGAGATTCCGTTTGAAAATATTTCTTTCAATAAATCTATTTTAATGAGGTCCAGTCATTACAACTCATGTTTAAATGCAATAAGCTTGTAATTTTATTTATTGAAACGAATTCCTATTTAATTTCTGTAAGCCCTATTATTCTACTATCCAATATAAACTTAGTTTGAGATGAGATCATTTAAAATATTTTAACACAGGTTCACAGTAAATTAATTATATAAATTGTGGTTTAAGTTGTCTGTAGATATGCTGATTATCGACTTATCTGCTGGTCACTTCCTGTCTCGAAATATTTGTAGGATTTAATTTGTCCTAGAATCATAAACTCGATATTGGCGAATACAGAGTTCATGGAAAAGCTATATTCGGAACAAGTACACCTTGGATTTAAACTTTATCTGTCTCTAAATGTAAGAACAATTAGCTTAGTACAATAATTAAGGAAATAGCAGCTATTAAGTGAAACGAGCAAACATATCGACCAATATCGCGTGTCATATGGAAATCAATAAAATTATGAGTCACATTGATATAATAAGATAATGTCTTTCAATTGGTAGGTGATGTGCAACAGAGATGATAGTTAACAGACATGCCAGATCAGATCACGTGATGCGAGCGTAAACCACTATTTGATTGGTTAACAATGGAGATAACTGACATATCTTCTTCCCGGTTTAAATCTGTCTACTGCAGAACATAAGTATTTTTCTCATTGAATGTGCGTTTTTTACTATCCATAAGGATGGTTATTAAACGAATTTCATCAATTCAACAAACGACCAATTATTTTTTCTAGTTTCAGGAAAATCTGTTACTTGTTACACTTGTGTTGACTGTCCAGTCCCATTTAACGCCTCATCTCCAAAAGTGGGAAACCGAAGTGGCTGTACATGGTGTGCTGTAAGTCAATGATGGGGTTTTAATTCAGAAAATACTGCCTTCTTGAAAGAAAATGAGCTTTAATTTCATTACTTGAAAGAGTTGTTCAATTTGTTTAGCAAAACATTAGTAATGATTTTACTTGATGATGTCCCTATTGAAGAATGTGAATTGCAGCTCTATTGAGTCCTGAGTACATATTTTTTAAGAAAACTGTATCTTCTCATAATATATGTACTCCATCTGTTCTCAAACTCTTCCAACGTTTCTCTAGATTCGAATTCCGATTTTTACTACCACAAATAAGTAACCATTTAATTCATATTGGTTTTGATTGCTTTTCTGTGTTATAACTGGAGGTTGGAACATATTTCGAGGATCGATTATTTCATAATATTCTTACAGCATTTCTGTTATTGCCTAATTCCTTAAATTGTAATCACTTATACCATGTGACTGTGAAAGTAAACGTTTGTTTTGTGACCGAAGAGAATCCCAACTTCTGTTGATCCGAATCGTTTACTGTATTTCTAGCCCATTCTTCTCTTCGTCAACAGAACAAAGTAAATAACAGAGGTTTGATGTATACTCTGTAAATCAGCCCATACAACAGCATAGATTATTATCCTGAATGCACATCAACCAAAAACAGAAATAACTTTGTAACCGTAACTATACCAAAAGTGAACGAAAGTGGAAGATGAAGGTGAATGATTAGTCAGTCGCAATCAAGGCATTTTAAAATGTATAGCAATAGTAAGTGAATTCACTGGAAGCTTACGGCAGACAGAATACAGAAATCGAGTCCACTTATTCAGTGGTTGTACAATGAAAATATGTTTAGTAATAATTTAAAAATTGGTTTCATGAGGTGATACATTTTTGATAATCTTACATCAGTTTGCGACGTGGACTTTGATATTTACCAACTACATAAACTGTAAATGTTGTCATGATAATCATCGGATTTCCTCGAATCGGTCTGTAACACAGTAAACAAATTCAAAATCTCGAAGTATAGATAAAGCTAATCAATGTAACTGTGCCAATGATAATTACTTATATTTTTACTATTAATATATAATATAATAAATTAGATAAGAAGTGATATATAGCTGACTTGAACAATATTCATTCAACCTATTTTTCACTTAAAATGAATAAATGTAGTTTGATCTTTTGTATTCTTAATGTTAAAACTGTATACAACAACTTAATGGAATCAACTAGTCTTATGCACGTTTGTGTACATCTTGCATTAACGTATGTAATTGGATGGTGTATTTAAATTCTCGGCAATCTTGTTCAAGCTTTTTTAAGCAAACTCGGCGTCCAACTATTCGTTCGAATTTAGACGAAAGTCCTTATAAACCATATAACTACATTTTCTCATTATAAATATCGTTTAATAACTTTGCTATCGTAACAGTGCTGTCTTTTATTATAGAGGCTCCAGGTTGCAGGTCTATATACGCCTGCCAGACTATGTTCGTCTGAATGTAGCTTTGAATATTTCAGCAAAC